CCAGACCCAGGGTGGTTCCCACTGTGCTGGTCCTGGTCCCGCTGGCATCCCTGTTGATGGGGTGACTCTGGGGCCAACACCCTGCTTCTTCTAACCGAGGCCTCAAACACATTCCTCTGTCAACATGGCCAACACGATTGGAGTTTCCGTCAGACAAAAACGGTCTTTACCAAGACATTGTCCGTGAACTTTCCACTCATTCCCACAGCCAGGTAGCAAGTATTCACACGTGCCCGTGGGGGCAAGGTAACCTTGTGGTTCAGACTCCTTCCTAAGGGAAACGGTCCCTTACAGGGTGCAAGCTTACACCAAGCTCTTCACGTCCAGTAACAGTGAGATGCTCTTGCCACCTGAGAACTGAGGACACTTAGCTCAAGACTTCTTCTTTTAAATCTTACTGATAATCACGAAAGGAAATAGACCAATACGAACACACGCTAGAAATAATCATAAGATGAAAGCAAGGGAAATCACGGCGTGCCCACCTCTGAAGCAAAGGCAGGAACACACACTCCAACAAAGCCGGAGCAGTCCCATCCAGGGCCTCTTCCCTCTGCGAGGGAGGAGGAATCCCTCCCTCCGACAACCTCCACTGTGGCTTTCCCGAGTCTCCCTGAGGGCTTCTCCGTCCACATGTGCCACGTCCAGGCCACTTTTCCATGTCTTCCCAACAGCTTGCTTTGGCTGACCCAGAGCTGGTCTCCAGGTCTATTGTCCTGCGTCTTCAGGGGAATCAATCTCTCAGGAAGGAGGTAGCGTCGGCTGCTCCGGCCGTGTGACCCACCTCCCATCTCCCTTCTCGGTCCCCTGAGGGCGGGCAGAGACCAGCCCCTGGCTGGACACTGCTTCTCGCCAGTATTGGGTCATGCCCTCTGACCTCAAAGCAAAGCGTCATGTGTTACGGCAGCTCCGAGGGCTGGCTTGTTTCCTGCAAGATCCCAGGGTTCCATGAAGCAGTGTAGGGTCCACATGATGGGCCAAGGGCCCGAGAACTGCCTGGTACCCCCACCTGCCCCACACTGAGGACCCGTGAGACGGCAGGGTTGGCAGCAGGTGTCAGCTCAGCCCTGCCAGCTGCGAAGGCGCAGTCACTGTTCCAAGGCCATGGCCTTCATTCCTGCAGCCCTACTCCAAGCCTGCAGAAAGGGCCCGACCCCAAGAGAGGCATTCACACCAGTCAGGAACCCTCACTCTCAGAGCAGCCAGCAGGCAGCCCAAGAGGACACAGCATCCTAGAAGGGGAGGCCCCTGGACACACCCTAACCTCCCCCATCTCCCCAGTCCCCTGTGCTCCTGTCTGTACCAGCTATGCCATCCCCTCCCCCATCTCCCCAGCCCCCTGGAGCTGTGCTCCTGTCTGTACCAGCTATGCCATCCCCTCCCCCATCTCCCCAGCCCCCTGGAGCTGTGCTCCTGTCTGTACCAGCTATGCCATCCCCTCCCCCATCTCCCCAGCCCCCTGTGCTCCTGTCTGTACCAGCTATGCCATCCCCTCCCTCATCTCCCCAGCCCCCTGTGCTCCTGTGTGCACCCCACTATGCCATCCCCTCCTCCATCTTCCCAGCCCCCTGTGCTCCTGTGTGCACCCCGCTAGGCCATCCCCACCCCCATCTCCCCAGATCCCTGTGTGCACCCCACTATGTCATCCTCTCCCAACAGCCAGCAAGAGGTGACACCTCACGGCCAGGCATTTCGGGGCTATACCCCCACGCCCTGCCCATCCTATCCAGCGGCCCTTGACCTGCCTCAGCCCACCCCCAGTTGGCTCAGGCGCCATTCACCATGCCAGACCCTCCAGGGCTGGTACAGACTGGCCTTGTCTTAAACCCAGTAGCACCCCGCAGAGCAGCACCCACCGGCAATTGCCCGCCCCAGCGAGGATGCCAGCTCAGCTCCTAGCCCTGGGCCAGCAGGTGCAGCTCCATCACACACAGAGCGGCCATGGGACAGAGCCGACACTGGAACACAGGACAGGGACAAGAAGGGTCAGCGCGACCCCTCCATCACACACAGAGCCGCCATGGGACAGAGCCGACACTGGAACACAGGACAGGGACAAGAAGGGTCAGCGCGACCCCTCCATCACACACAGAGCCGCCATGGGACAGAGCTGACACTGGAACACAGGACAGGGGCAAGAAGGGTCAGCGCGACCCCTCCATCACGCGGCACACATGGACGGTCTGAGTACACAGCCTTATATACACATCAGCGTAACTGTATAATAGAAACGATTAAATGCAGTGTACAGACTCACTAATGTACAATAGGATATAAAATGTAATAGGAATTTTAATAATGACATAATGAAAATGTGCTGCCACAGGTCTAGCTCAGGTTTTTCCTAGTTAATCGCACCTCAATGTTCCATCAGCTCGCAGCTGCCCCTCCCCCAGGCCCTCCCTTGCTGACCCCACCTCAACCTGCCATCCCACTCAACTTCCCGGTTTAGTAACACCAAGGCCTCAGATGTGCTCTTCGGATGTAAGGAGATTTGTGTTTTCCAAAGATGCGTAATTCCTAAGAGTTCTTCAATTTATAAAACACAAAAAGAGGGGCTCCTTTTTCAGGAAGCAACTTAGAGACTCTCATCTCAAAAATACACATCCTACGGGATCAGCCATGGGACAGGCAGGTAGCCCCCAAAACCATGGGGACAGGCAGGCAACCCCCAAAGCCGTGGGACAGACAGGCAGGTAGCCCCCAAAACCATGGGGACAGGCAGGCAACCCCCAAAGCCGTGGGACAGACAGGCAGGTAGCCCCCAAAACCATGGGGACAGGCAGGCAACCCCCAAAGCCGTGGGACAGACAGGCAGGTAGCCCCCAAAACCATGGGGACAGGCAGGCAACCCCCAAAACTGTGGGACAGGCAGGTAACCCCCAAAGCCATGGGGACAGGCAGGCAACCCCCAAAGCCGTGGGACAGACAGGCAGGTAGCCCCCAAAACCATGGGGACAGGCAGGCAACCCCCAAAACTGTGGGACAGGTAGGTAACCCCCAAAGCCGTGGGGACAGGCAGGTAATCCCGAAAACCATGGGGACAGGCAGGTAATCCCGCAAACCATGGGAACAGACAGGTAACCCCAAAGCCGTTGGCACAGGCAGGTAACCCCAAAGCCGTGGGCACAGGCAGGTAACCCCAAAGCCGTGGGCACAGGCAGGCAACCCCAAAGCCATGGGCACAGGCAGGTAACCCCAAAGCCGTGGGCACAGGCAGGTAACCCCAAAGCCGTGGGCACAGGCAGGTAACCCCAAAGCCGTGGGCACAGGCAGGTAACCCCAAAGCCGTGGGCACAGGCAGGTAACACCCCTCAAAGCTACAGGCAATACTACATTATATTCAATTTCATTCCATAAGTTGGGAAAAAATAAGAAAATGGAAAAATCGGATTTGACGAATGTAGTCTAGGTTAGAATAAAAGGTTATCCTAACACGGATCGTGTTTGGACCAAACACGTCATTTCTCCTTTAAGATGCGAAGAAGCCTAAAGCTAAGTTAACGGAAGTCGGCTTGAACAACATGTTAAATGTTTGCTGGAGTTAGTGCTGCAGCACACCTCACCAAGCTGCCACATGTGGTCAGGCATCCTGTGTGGGCGCTGGTTCGAGTCCCAGCTACTCCACCTCCTGTCCAGATCCCTGCCAATGGTCTGGGAAACAGCAGAGGACGGCCTACGTACCTGGGCCCCTGCTCCCACAGAGACCCAGAGGCGCTCCTGGCTCCTGGCTTCAGACCAACCCAGCTCTGATCACTGAGCCATTTGGGGAGTAAACCAGTGGGGAGAAGAAAGGAAGATCTCTCTCCCTCTCCCTCTCTCTCTCTCTCTCTGGCTCTGCCTTTTCGGGGAATAAATACATCTTTAAACATCTGCCACACCAGGATAAGTGGACGGAGGCCGTGCAGGCAAGCCTGTGCAAGCGGCCAGGGGCTGGTCCAGCTCGTCGGATGACCGGCATGCCCATGGCAGGTGCTGGCTGGGAAGGAGAGGCTCACGGGGAGGCAGGTGTGCCATCCAGCAACGCCCTGAGAGCAGGGGAGTCTGCCCAGGACTCTGCGAGACGAGCGAGCCCGTTTCACTCCCTGGCAGCTGTTACTGATCTGTAGGTGACAGCGACTGGCCACGCGCTAGGAAACATCACGCTGTCATCGGCGAGCGGAACCAGTCAAGGCATGTCACACAAGCCACCTCGTCATCACTAAATCATCAGGAAGCCTCGTGGAACGTGTTCGTCAGCAACCACGAGCGCAAGGAGGGGAGGGAGGTGCAGCTGAGAGCACGGACTGCTGAGTGGTTCCTCCTAAGAACCAGGCGACACTCGTGGGTAGACATGGGCAAGCGGAGAAGGAACACACGCCGCCCTCGTGTCACTAAACCTGTGGGCAGCAGTCACAGCACGAGGACCCGAGGCTGCGGCCACGGCCAGCCCCTGGTGGAAGGGCTGAGACAGCTCGGCCGGCAGCACCTGTTGCGATAACGGGATCGTACATTCGGGTGATGCCCACCCGAGTTACAAAGCTCGTCCCCCGTCACGCAGGCACGACATTCGGCCAGAGACCACTCATGGGCGTCTGCTCCAGGACAGGTGTTCTCTCAGGTTAGACACGAAACTGAATCCATTATCCAAACACAGCCACTCATTTCCCACGTCCACGGTCACAGGCCGCCGGGCATGCCTGCCCAGTGCTCTACGGGACACCCGCTCCAGACAAGCACACGGAGGGGGCCAACTGGCTGGTCGGGGCCCCAACCAACAGCCAACAGCAGAAAAACACCCAGTCTAAACGCAGAGACCAACCCACGCATGCCTCGCCCAAAAACAGACCCCATGTTCCAGAAACCAGTAAGCTATTCAAGACCCCCTTTTTTTTAAACCATGCCCTGCAAAGAAATTATATTTTACTAAGAGAATCATTTCATTCAAACGACCCAGTTTGCATGCTTAAAATTGACTAAGGGAAAAGAAGTGGCACAGCTTCCAGGCTCCCGGCACCCACCTGGCACAGGCTGAGGGGCGAACAGCACGGTGGGGAGCGGGCTGGACACGGACACGGCTACTCGGTTCGCCAGCACATGGGGCTTCTCGTGCCCAAGGGGCCACAGTGACTCCTGAGGGTGCAGCCACGGCGAGTCCAGAGCCACGGAATGGTTGACAAAGATCTGTCCGAGGAAGAGGAGGTAAGCAGAGGTGAGGAGGTGAGGCCCGGGGTGCAGGACAAGCACCTCCTCCGTCCACACTCGGCGCCCTGGCAGCCAGGAGAGCCACGGGACCCCAGACCCATCTCCCTTGGCTTGAGGGCCGCGGGGAGCCGCAGCTAACTAACCACCCCCGCGAGGCACTGAGGGTGCTGCCCCATCTCGAGTTCTCTTTGGGTTTCAAATCAGAAAACTGCAGTCCCTCAGTACGAGTGCATAAGTCCAAACCAACCGCCAGAGAGGTGGGACGTGAAAGCAGAGCTAACTGGGAGGACAAGTCCTCACCTGGAAATTCAAACCCGTGCTACGCATCACTTCAGGCAAGGTATTGGTTAATGGCTGCTTATTAAATATTGACAAATTGAAAAAGGCCATTCTGGTTCAGAAATTGGACATTTTACATAGTCCTATGGAATCAAGTACTTTACACCAAAATACCCCACCACACACACACAGAGAACCCCCCTCACACAGACAGACTCACACACACACACAGACCCACACACACACAGACACACGGAGACCCCACACACACACAGACCCCCCCACACACACACACAGACCCACACACATACACACAGACCCACACACACACACACAGCCCCCCCCACACACAGACACACACACACAGACTCACACACACACAGACTCACACACACACACAGCCCCACACACACACAGACACACACACACACACACACAGACCCCCCCACACACACACACAGACACACACACACACAGCCCCACACACACACAGACCCACACACACACACACAGACCCACACACACACACAGAGACCCACACACACACAGACACACACACACACACACAGACCCCCACACACACACACAGACTCACACACACACAGCCCCACACACACACAGACCCACACACACACAGACACACAGAGACCCCACACACACAGACCCCCACACACACAGCCCCACACACACACACACAGACCCACACACACACACACACACACACACACAGACCCCCCCACACACACACAGACACACACACACACAGCCCCACACACACACAGACCCACACACACACACAGAGACCCACACACACACAGACACACACACACACACAGACCCCCCCACACACACACAGACTCACACACACACAGCCCCACACACACACAGACCCACACACACACAGACACACAGAGACCCCACACACACACAGACCCACACAGACACAGCCCCACACACACACACACAGACCCACACACACACACACAGACCCACACACACAGACCCACACACACACAGACCCACACACACACAGACACATACACACACAGACACACCTGCTGGTGGCTGGACTCTCCACACCTTCTCCCTATGCTTAGCAAACACACAGCGTTTCCTGGCGTCCTGGGGGAGCCCAGCCATCCCACAGCTCCAGCCCACCTGTCCAGCCTCTTGCTGTGCCTGTTTACCTTACAGGGAGGCATCCTCTTGTCTGTCCAGCTCTTCCCAGCGGCAGGTGGAAGAGCAGCGGCACAGGCCTGGGGGAACGCGGGCAGCAGCTCCACGATGGGGGAGGCGGGCAGGCCCAGCCCGGGGCCCCGGCCCCCAAACAGCCACTGCAAGCCAGAGAGGGGCAGACAGCCTCCGTCAGCCCCCAGCAGCCCCCATCGGTCCCCTCCACGCGGGCCCAGAGGACCCAGCACAGCTAGCTGCTCGGACACGCACAAGCCCCTCCTCCCCAGTGGGACCAAGCACAGATATTTAGGAATTCAGGAAAAGACACCAGTGTGGTCCTGGCAGGAACATCACAGGCCAGCACTAAAGCTGACCAACTTCTAGGTGCATGGACACGGCAAGAAGTGGGGTTCTGCCTTGAGCAGAAAAGGGTTCTGCTGGGGTTCACCTCCACCTGGGGGTCCCTGTCACAGCCCGGGGTGCCACTCACAGCCTGGGGATCCCTGCCACAGCCCGGGGTGCCCCTCACAGCCTGGGATCCCCATCAGAGCCTGGCGCACAGCATCACAGCCCAGGGTTTCCATAACAGCCCGGGGACATCCCAGCAGCAGGCCTGGCACCAGGCTGATGCCATTCCCTGCCACCCAGCGCTGGTTGTGAACCACCCCGGCACTTAGAAACACTGGCTGATATTTCCAAGATGGAAACAGCAAAGGAGGTGAGGTAGAATCTACGGCCGAGACCCTGCAGGCGACGTGCACGGGGCTGCCGGGGTACCGAGGGAGGCGTGGGGCTGCACAAGCTCGCTGCTCCGGGGTCCCCAGCCAGCGCCCACGCCCTGGCGAGCCACAGGGACCCCCAGCACCCACTCAGTAAACCCCCCACGGGCGGGTTCCAGCCCCTGTCATGTGAGACCAGCCTCGCCAGGACGCAAGCATCACAAAAATATTCCAGAGTTTAGTACCAAGTTCTTCCGGGTTTTCCTTTTTAAATTTTTACAAGAAAAAAAAAAAAAATGCTTTCTTCTTGTACCAAGAGGGGGAAGGTGGTTCCTTGACACCGTGTTCCTCTAGCGGCGGGCCGCGACATGACAACTGCCCCGAAACGGCGCAGCGACCGCCGTTCTCAAGGAGACCACATCGCCAGGGCCCAGGCAGGGGTCGAGTCGCCCCCGGAGGCTCCCGAACCAGCACGGGACCACGTCAATGCAGGGGCGACTTGGAACCCAACGCGGTCCAACACGATAGCGAGACCAGGCCCCGCGCTGCGCTCACATCCTCGCCCCGCACACTTGGCTAGCCAAAGCCCCGAACCGCAGGCTGGGTCACTTTCTCTTTCCCGGGCTTTGCATGCGAAACTCCTGCAAAGTGCGACCTGGCAGGAGAGAGCCGGACAGGCGGGAGGCAGGCCAGGGGCCCGGGCACTGGGCGCGGCGAGCCTCCTGGCCAGGGCACTCCGCCGGCCGGCGCGCGGGGGGCTGCTCAGAGGCGACGCCGGGAGCCAGTTTGCACATGAAACGGGGGCGGGAGGAGCCCAGACTGGAGCAGGAACAGACCCGGCTCCGATCCCGGCTCGCTGTGGAGCAGCGGAGACGCCCAGCGCCAACTTCCCTGGCCACTTCAGCCCCGCTCATCCGGACAGCGCCCCGGGCACGGCCCAAGTTGCGCGCGCCCGGGCGGTCTCGGAGGTGGCGAGGGGTGCTGGTCTCGGAACGGGGGCGGGTGGGGGGATGCCTGCGAGGCGAGGCGTGAACTTTGACGACGAGGCATGGCGGCCAGGCTGCGTGCCGGGGGGCCGGGGTGGCCAGGGTGGCCGGGGGTGACCGGGGTCCAGGGTAGCCGGGGGACCGGAGGGACCGGAGGGCCGAGGGGCGGGGGCCGGGAGTGGCTGGGGAGGCCAGGGTAGTCGCGGGGCCCGGGGTGACCGGGGGTGGCTGGGGAGGCGGGGGTGGTCAAGGGGCTAGGGTGGCCAGGGGTGGCTGGGGTGGTCGGGGGCCGGGGGGTCGGGGGGCCGGGGGGGCCGGGCACCGGGCCCGTGGAGCCGTTACCTGTGCGCCGAGCAGGGGCTGCTGGTGCGCGGCAGCGTGGTCTGGCGCAGAGGGCAGCGGCAGCAGCGGCAGCAGGGGCTCGCCGGGGGCCTGCCAGCCGGGCAGCACGGGCAGCAGCGGCGCCGCGGGCGCAGGGGAGGAAAGCAGCAGCGGCGGGGCCACGACCCCCGGGCCGAGCCGGAGCAGCCCGGCCGCGCCGGGCACCATCCAGAGCCAGGGCGGCGGCGGGTCCGCGTTCATCGGCCAGAGCAGGGACGGCCGCCGCCGGGGCAGCTGCTGCTGTTGCTGCTGCAGCGGCCGCCGCCGCCGCGGGAGCCTGGCGCCCGCCAGCATCCTCCACCCCGCGGGCCGGCGCGGGGCGCGGGCGGCGGGCGCCCGAGGTGCGGGCCGGCGGCGGCGCGGGCTCCGGAGCCAACTCACTTGGTGCCGCGGCCGCTCGCCCCGCCCCGCACCGGCAGCCCCTCCTCCTGCCCGCCGCCCTCCCTCCGCGCCGGCCAGCCACCCCGGCCCACTCGGCGCCCGGAGCCCGCGGCTGCGGCGGGAGGGCGAGGCGGTGGGCGCACCGCGCACCCAGGGTGCACCCCGCACCCAGGTCCCGCGCCTCGGCTCCAGGGCGCCGCCCGAGGCGTGAGCGCGGGGCCCGGTTCCCGGCTGACGCGCAATGGGGAGCCGAGGCCGAGCTGCCTGCGCCCCAGTCGAGCCAGCCCCGGGAGCGGGTGGGGTGGGGGTGCTGACCGCACCGCCTTTCCTAGCCGCCGTCCACCTGACTTAACCGAGCCTGGGGCACAGGACCCCTACTCCAGACGCAACTGGACGGGAGTGGGTTGCTCTCCGGGACAAATCTGCGGAAGGTTCCCCTAGGCCCCCAACGGGTCCCCGTTGCCTGGGAATGAGTCATTGGGGCGAGGTGTGAAGCCCACACCCCAGGCTCCACGCCCACCTCTCTCGGAGCAGGTGGACTCTGAGCCCGAGGCGCCTCCTTCGCCCTCGGCAAAATCTTCTGGGACTCCCCGGGGCGCGGGTTCGGCTCCTGCATCCCCTCCCGCAGTCCCTGCTGGGGCCTGGGAGCCCCTGGGACGGCAGGGGACCTGGAATGGCCAGGGACGGCAGGGGACCCGGGGCTCAGGCAGCGGCTCAACACCGGCCAAGGGCAGCCACCGCCAGACGGCGCTCCTCCCTCCCGGGTGCAGTCTGGTTCGGATCCCGGCGCTGGTTCTGAGACCCAGGACCCCGGGGCTGGGCTGCACGAAGCACGGCTCCAGTGCCCGCCTGGACGTTGGAAGGCGCCGTTTGGGGTGGATGAATTAGGGCCGGCGTGGCACCGGGGGCAGAGGGTGTGAACTGCACCGGCTCCGCAGACTCACTTGGATGGAGGCGCGCCCAGTTTCTGCTGTCCCTTCTGCTGATTGGCTTTATTCGCTCCTGGCCTGGCAGGCTCCTATGGAATCTAGGCATATGCTAATTTACATAGCTGGCATCTCCACGCTCCTTTCCGCGCAAACCCTTTTTCAATTAGCGAGTTCCTTTCGCTCTGAGGCAGCAATCCTGGCGAGAGATTTTTCCTCACCTAAAATCAAACAAGCGCTGTGGATTAGAGGGTCTCTCAGTCCCGGGAGAGCACGCAGACACCTGCGTGGCACACGGGTGAGGCCGGCATCCTGCTGCTGTCACAGACACTTGGAGGTAGGGACCCAGGGCCTTAAGGTGGCCTGCTGAAGCCATGCCGTCGGCACGGGGGTGACTGCACTTGCTCCATTGACAAGGCCTGGGGTCAGCGTCCTGGGGCGATGCCCGGTGCCCACCACTCCAGTAAAAGCCAGACTGCACCTGCTGGGCCACAGCTCAGGTGGATGGGAGTTTCACTGTCCCGGCCCCCAGGGTAGGGTGCGGGGGAACCTCACCTTACTTGAACAGGTGTACTGAAGTCGGCTCAGCCAGCGGGATGTGGTGCCCTCCCCCCCGGGTACTTGGTGACGGAGCCCACATGCCTTTGGAAGCTGCTCGGTTCTGAAGGGAGCTGGGACATGATGTTGCCCTGCACTCAGAGATGCTCAGCTTTGCTGCTTCCTGTCCCAGGGTCTGGACCCTGCTTGGTGCAGATCCTGAAGGTCAGTGCCATGGAGGACCCCCGAATGGGGGGAGGAGGGGAGAATGGTGAAGATAAGGAGGCAGAGGGGGAGGAGGACCAAGAAAGGGTGAGAGGAAAGAGGAGGAAGGGAGGCTGGAGGAGATGGCTCAGGCTTGCACCATCCCGGAAGCTCAGCCTCTACCAGGCCATGGGACCCCGTGATCCCTTGCTCCTTGAGCAGCCTGTCAGCCAGCAGGGCCAGACTGAGCCCACAAGGGCACCGCCCACCAGCGCCCCAGCTCGGAGGAGGGACAAGGCAGGGGTGTGCTCCTCCCACAGGCCCCCAGGGACAGGCCTGGTTCGGGAAGGCTCCCTGTGCTGGCGGGCAACTGCGCGGCTCATGCACGGGACCCCAGCCCAAAGCCAACCTTGTCCTGGGAGAGAGGAGCAAAAGGATGCATCGCCTTGTTCTGCCCATCTCGAGGTGTGTTCACGCAGGCAGGAAGGGCCGGGCACCGCCCATCTCGAGGTGTGTCCACGCAGGCAGGAAGAGCCAGGCACGCCCATCTCGAGGTGTATCCACGCCTGCAGGAAGGGTGTTGGGTCAAGAACTGAGCGATTCACCCAGGACCCTGGAGCTGGGATGCAGCCCAGTCCAAATCCAGAACCCAGGCTTTCTTCTTGGTGATTTTATTTAGTCAGTTTTACTTGTTTGAAAGACAAAGAGGACGTCTTCCACCCACTGGGTTGTCCCCAATAGCTGAGGCTGGGCCAAGGAGCTGATATTACAACCCAAGCCTCCCTCGTGGGTGCAGGGCACCCAAGTGCTTAGGCCACACAGCTGCTTCCAGGGTGTACCTTGGCAGGAAGCTGGACAAGAACCGGAGGTGGGCCTTGGACCCAAGCCCTCCGACACTGGGGCCCCCAGTGGCAAGTCACGGTGCCAGACACTCCCCTTGGAGCTGGAGTGTTCAAGGGAAGGACACCAAGTCCAGGCCATGCTTGAGCAGACGGGGACACCTAGTGACCAAGGACATGTCCCTCCTTGGCTTCACACACATGCACATCTCGTCCTCTTGGGCAGCTCTGGGCCTTTGACCCGGAGCAGGTGCACTCCTGTGGGCTGACCGCGGCTCCCAGGATGAACGCTCTCCCTGGGAAAGCCCACTGCATTGCAATGGCAGTAACTTCACGGAGACCGAGGCAGGTGCCCAGTGCCTGCACACCGCTGGTGGAGCTTTGGCCACCTGTGTCAGAGTCAGCTGAGGGTCAGGCGGAGCCAGGGACAGGCTGGTCTCCCCTGGCCACTCCCCCTGAGTGGCTCTGAGCCTCTCCTGACACCCTGTGTGCAGTGAAGTGCACTTGCCCGAGGCAGGCCAGGCCTCTGACTTCTGACCAGGTCCCACACCCAATGAGACAGAGCCAGAGCTGGGGCTGTTGGGGGACCGGAGAGCCTGGGGCCTAGAGCAAGTGGAGCGGGAAGGGGTCAGCACAGCAAGATTGCGCTCCTCCAGCCACAGCCCTGTGAGATGGCCCTAAATGGCCCCCGTGACCCAGCCCAAGCCCACTGGGAGACTGCAAGAGACGCCTCCCAGGTCAAGCGCTCCTCTGGAGTGACCCAGCCCCCTCCCTGCAGCCTCGGAGAGGGGCGCCTGGTGGGATGCCAGGGATGGAGGGAGGTCAGGGCAGCCTGAGGCCCTTAGCTGCTTGTCTCCAGGGTGACCTGTCTGTGCTGGGCCCTTCCCATGCTGCCTCGCAGGGCTGGGCTGGGGGAGGGGAGTCCCTGCTGCTCCTTCAGCCCTTGAGCCCACTGCTCAGAGCCAGGACCCTGGTACTGACAGGGTGCCCAGTACTGACAGGGAAGCTGGTTTGGCTTTGAGTGAGAAAACATGAATGAGAAGAGTAAGAGAAGGAGAGAGAAGCAGTGAGGAAGAGAGAGGGGCAGGGCAGACAAGTCAGACTCAGGTCCTCTCCCGGGGGCAACCGGAAGTGCCCTCCACTACTGCCACGCCTTCCAGCTGACCTGAGTGATAACGTGTGTGCGACTGTGCCGTTCAGTCCTGGCACCCAGCGTGACCGGTACATCACCCAGCGTCTCTGGCAGCGCCCGTGGGTGCAGGCAGCCAGTGAGCCAGCCCAGGCCGGGAGCCGGCAGTGGCCTTGTCCCGCCATCCTGGGCGCTGCTGACCTCCCCACAGACTCTCAGAAACAGGAGGAGCCGGCAGGAGTCTGGGGAGAATTCCAGAGGATGGAAAGGGCCCCGGAAGAGGGGGTGGTGCCTCACCTGGCTGAAAGACCCTCATGGCTTCCCTGAAAACGGGCCCCAGATGGTCCCTGGGGGCCCAGTGTTGTACCCTCTGTCCCCTCTGACTGGTGACGGCTGTCCGTGAGGGCCAGGAGGGAAAGGTCAGGCCCCTCGGGAAGAAGCAGCTCAGGACACAGCTAAGGACCCATGGGCAGTGTGGGCAGCACCCAGGCAGACAATCCAAGCCTGCAGGGGTGAACCCAGTGCTGCCGGGGCACGCAAGCAGGGCTTCCCGCGCCTTCCGGCACTCGGCAAAGCCACAGCTCACGTGACCGTTCTCAGCACGTGTCCGCCTGTCACGTGACAGCTTTAAACACACGTGCTCCTGATCCATGTGACAGTTTAGGTGTCCCATGTGTATCTAATCAAGTTGCTGTAAAACATACAAATTAGTGTCAGCGGTTGCTTTAAGGCAGACACATCAATGATCATAGTCGGGTGACACTGGGCTCGTGCTGCGGAGCGGCAGCCGCCGGGCGCAGGCCGGCAATGCAGAGGACACATGCCAGAAAAGCCCCTGGTGCCACCGGGGGAGCCCGAGGCCCCTCATCTGCGGCAGAGAGCGCCAGGCACCAGGGGCCAGCAGTGAGCGTCCCCAACAGAGGCACCAAGGGACAGGGCAGGGCAGTGAGCCCAGAGCCAGCCACAGTGGCCGGCAGGAGAAGCCGCAGCCGGGAGGGCACTGCAGCCTGGAGGGCACTGCAGCCAGGAGGGCACTGCGGCCGGGAGGGCACTGCGGCCGAGAGGGCACTGCGGCCGGGAGGGCACTGCGGCCGGGAGGGCACTGCGGCCGGGAGGGCACTGCGGCCGGGAGGGCACTGCGGCCGGGAGGGCACTGCGGCCGGGAGGGCACTGCAGGGTGGGGGCGGCGACGCAGGGGGCGTCCAGAGGCCCAGAAGTGAGTGCCCAGGCACCAGGCTGAAACAGCCTGTGGGCATGGGGAGACACCGAGACACTTAT